CCCAAGCACTGTTCTACTTATCAGGGCCCACAAACTATGCTGTTATAGTAAACCTTATACAACCCTGCGAAGGAACCCTAGTCTGGTCATCAAGGCTTGTGTATAAGGCTCACCTTGGTTCGGTACTTCAATCCATCAGGTGCACTGAAACGGCAGATTTTTTCCTCACGCGTGCAGCCGGGCTTGAAAGTATATATAGCGAACCCCAGAAAGTAGGAACGTGGGATAGGACATTAAGGGCAAGGGTGATTTGTCCTAGGATTCCTCATGCATTACCTTAAGGGCATCGGAGTAATCATGTTCCAACTTTCTGGCTTCTACTATATAGGCTACGTAGTGGAAGGGTCCATGCCTTGCATGGAGGCTTCCAGCAAGCTGACGCGCTCTGTCGATGTCGCCCAAAGGTTTTTGGAGCTTCGGAACATAGGTGAAGTTATATAAAAGATAGGATTTAGGGTTCAGGGTTTGCTAAAAACCTCAACAAGTCTACGTAATGCTACGCAAATGGTGCCCCCAAAAGCTCTCTCTGGGTTGACGTGCAGAGCGTATTCCGGGTGTTCCGTTGACAATGGAACGACTCAGCTGCGCACGCTAACCTTAAAACTCTAAATCCTCCTGGACCCTGTAAAGCCTACCGTTTTAGGGATCCTTATTATAGTTTCCTCATATATAATATATGTATATATATGTATATGTCCTTCAAATGGTAGGTTCTTCATGGCCCAGGTTGAACCTCTAAGCTTAAAGCACTAAACCAACAACCTGGGACCCTAAAAACCCTAGAGCCCAAACCTTGTAGAACCCTTCATTACAGGAACCCCTTAACAGCCCTAGAACCCAAAAGTCACTGAGGAGCCTTCTCTGGTATTCTCGGCTGCTCACTGGTCGGCGCGAGCTTCGCCAATGAACTGAGCCAAGCTGTCCAGAGCATCCAAAGCAGGCGAAGTGACGCTTGCTTGACGAGAGGACTGTGCATCCTTCACAGAAGGAAAGAGAGTTTAGGGTTTAGGGTGCAGGGGTTTAAACACTAAGGCTGAAACCGTAATCCTAAAGGAAAGAGGGTTTAGGGTTTAGGGTAGAGGGTGTAGGGTCTAGGGCTTACTGCCAGAGGCAAGATATTTACAACACGTAGCTGGCACCGAATGTGGCAAAGATAATCACGAAACTCTAAGCCCTAAATCTTATCCCAGTCCCCTTCTGTTTAGTTTAGGGTGTAGGTTTGAAGGTTTAGGGTTAAGGACTGCCACGCGCAACCTGAGTTTTCATAGCAGAGATGTCAAGCAAAGAATCGCGGATTTCCTTTGTATAAACTTGTGGTAACTTGAAGAACAAACGCACTAACAAGAGCCCAGCTGCCAGCCCACCACGTTCTCGCGTAGGGCAGGCAGGGAGTGGAGAGAAGAGGACGAGAAGCGTGTCCCCCTCGTTGATCCCACATTGACGCACGAGGTCCGTGTCCACGAGATGGCTGCCGTTGTGCACTAAGTCTACCTGGCGGTTGTCGAACATGTTGTCGTCCCCTGGCTGCGGCTCATCGGGGGCCAAGGCCTCCTTAATCTGGATCATCACATCCATGATGAGGTCCCACTCCTTCACAACCAGAGCCGTTGATTCGCCTGATAGCTGCAGCAAGTTGATGGTGATTACATCATAATGCTGGCCCACGTTCATCTCGGACGTTTCGCCAAGCTCCACTCGGCCATAGCATGCTCTGCTGCTTGAGCAATAAAAGCTGAACCGGGCAGGACTTGTGTTGTTTTGACAGGGTTGCGCCATGACACAATAACAATCACGTTGTCACCAACGCCGTCGACACATGACTCAAACTACCTACCTGCGATGTTCATCGTCGATGACCAACCACTCTGTCTTAAAGCAAATGCGATGAATGGGCATGGGGCAGGTGCACGGAGAGAACGACTCAGTTTGCTACATGTGGTAAGCTTATGCATTAGGAGGGACGGCACCTGGAAGTTGGTAGTGAGGTGCTTGGGTGGCTGAGCACCTAGTATGTTTGACAGCTTCAGAAGATCACGTGGAAAACGCTAAAACCGCAAGTGGATAAATTATCGAGAGAGCCGTAGCTAACCCTAACCCAAGCCCCGAAACCCCTGATCCCTAAACCTGGGCGCCTCAGACGAAGTGGGTCTAGAGTTATTAACCTTTGACTCCGTGCGCGGAAGCTCTAAACCCTAAACCCTGTTTTGGGGTTAGTGTGGTCCTTCAGGAAGGCTTTTGCTTTCGAACTGGGTTCCTGGCATAGCAATCCCTAAGGCTCCATGTACCCAAATAGTATGTACTTTGGCCTTTATGTAGTCCCTATAACCCTAAATCCTAAACCCCTAAACCCTAAACCCTAAACCCGAAATAGGTAATGTAGTCCCTATATCGGTACTTTAGGGCCAATGTTGAACTATTTGGGTGCATGGACCCTTAGGGAATATGAGGACACTGCCTGTAAGATGTAAGCATGTCTACAAATCTATCACGGTTTAGGGTTTAGGGTTTAGGGTTTAGGGTTTAGGGTCCGTCCGTCTGTCTGCGTATCCGTCTACATCCCCATCTATCTATGCATCTGTCTGTCTATCTACCTATCTGTCTTCCAATCCATCTATCTATCCATCCAACTATCCATCTGTCCAAGTATCTAACGATCGAACTATCTATGCAGGTTAGAACCCTAATAGCCTGTGACCCCCAACCCTACCAAATAGTAGGGACGCCTTGATTAGAGGGTAGAACCCGTAAAAACGGTAGGTTTTTGGATCCACAGGCAAGACCCAAACTCTCTTGGACCCGGAAACCTCCAAGGATGAACCCTGATGTAGGGGCCTTAATAACTAGAACAGGATTTTGGGGCCCATTCTACTATAACTATAATCAAGAACCCCCCAAAAGAGTATGGGTGACTACTTAAACTTAGGCCCCTATACTACTAAACCCTAAACCCCATGATGAACCCGAATCAGCTCTGTCCGGTTCACGGCAGAAGGTTTAGGGGTTTACGGGTTTGGGTTTAGGGGTTTAGGGATCTAGGGGTTTAGGGTTTAGTCTTAGGGTTTAGGTTTTCGGGGTTAGGGTAGAATTACAACCATGGTTCGGGCAAGCCCCAGGCACTGCAACAACTCAATAAACTTTATCCACAAGAGCCCTGCTGAACGCCCGACCTGAAGCAATTTGAAACGACATGTTGCAACCCCGTAATGTAGAAGCGGCAATAATTAGAATAAGGTTTTGGGCTATTAAACTTGACTTATACTAAGGAACCCGTCACAATAGTCTTGGTAATTATTTTGGGCTCCTATAGAATGCTTCCCAAGCCCTCCTGGCAACTCTAGATCCTACACCCCGTAACCCTAAACTTGCTTTTCGAGCCCATTTCGAGCCTTTATGCTCATCTCTGTCAGCCCCCCCCTCAACACCCATATAAAGCTCACACTATACAACAGCCTTATCAAGAAGTCGTCTTCTGAACCTTCATCACTCTCCCGAAATCCCGACAGAGCCATATACACCCGAAACTTAATGGATCCCGTGCCAAAAAAACCTTGAACCTCGAAGAAGCCTTGAACCCCCAAAGCTAGCCCACCCTAAACCCTAAAACCCTAAGACCTGGTGAAGAACCCTGAGACCCTAAGACCCTCTAAACCCTAAAACCCCGCACCCCAAAACCCAAACCCTCAACCCTGAACCCTAAACCCTAAACCCTGAACCCTAAACCCTAAACCCTAAACCCGAAACCCTAAACCCTACATCTTAAACATTTGCCCGGCAGCCCGTCACAGCGAAGCTGGCCCGGAAGCCGAGCTGGTCGACGAGCACGCCGCCCACGGCGGCTGAACCGGCCCACCTCATAGAGGGGTTTAGGGTTTAGGGTTTAGGGTTTAGGGTTTTAGGGTTTAGGGTTTAGGGTTTAGGGTTTAGGGTTTAGGGTTTAGGGGGGCCCTCAATAATTAGAATAGGGTTTGGGGGTTCCTTTTAAAGGAGTTTCGAGAAGGATTGAAGAGAGGGGCCGCAAGAAGCAGAATAGGGTTTTGGAGTATATCATGCATAGTTTAGTCACAATGAAGAGCCGTAAGGAATTGCATTGGTAATTGTTAGGCTTCTATATTACGGCTCTTTAAAGGCTTTGGCTGTTTGTTTTGAGGATTTGGAACTTTAGGGTTTAAGCTTTTAGTGTTTAGGATTCAGGGCTATAAGGGTTTTGGGCGCGGGATATTACAGGGGTTTGGGTCTTTTGGCTTTGCATTGGCGTCGCATTCCTTCTTTATGATGCTCAAATGCTTGTTAAACGATGTCTTTCTCGGTTCCGAACTTTCGTTGACTATGCTGCTGTTGCACTAGAGCATTGCTAGGGATGCCTATTGATAAAACTGGAGTCCTAGCCTGTTTCAGAAGGGGCCTAAGTGTGGGTTCTTGCAGGAATTGATGTTTCTGGTTGGGCTTTTTCGTGCTTAGAGAAGATACTGCAGATCTCACATTTGCGTGGCCTCTAGGGGGGAGGTTTTCAGAGGCGCTTGTGTAAATCGACTCCAACCATGCGCACGCATTCGTGGTTGCTATAGGGGTTTAGGGTTTAGGGTTTAGGGTTAGGTTCAAAGGGCATGGAATTATATCGGAGATTTACGCACACAGCTACAGATGTATACACCCCTGTACATTCCCGTCAACTATATATCTACGCATGTCTGACCTGAAACAAAAAAGTTAGAGCGCCGTGTACACACACACACACCAACTTGCCCAAGGTGTACTTGGAGGTTCCTGGGTAGTTATAAGTAGGGTTATAACTATGGTTATTCTACTTGTCCGAAAATCGCGAGCGTGAACTTGAACCCGCTACAACATCCAAACACACCTAAGCAGGTTATATGTTCAGAGTTTAGGGTTCTACCCATAGGCCCCATAGTAGTAGTTCCTTTTTGTGGCTTATATTTAGGATCCTATTAGGGGAATCCCCAAAAAGGACTACCATGGGGCCTATGGGTAGTTCCAGTATCGTAGCACCGGCTGAACCGAACTCGACCAGCTTCCTGCACAGACATCAAACAACAAGGGGGTCCCTGAACAATGCCAAAACCCCCCCAGTCAGTGACGAAAGCAGGCTCAAGGGCTTAGATCACAGGGTGACATGGGTTTAGGGTTTAGGGGTTTGGGGTTTAGGGGTTTAAAGGTTTTGGGTTTAGGGCTCCGATGTGCAAGAACGGTCTCCAACTCCAAAGAGTCGTTCACAGGTCTGAGAGAACCCTAAACCTCGAGGTTTAGGGTTTAGGGTTTAGTGACCCCATAGCCTACTCATCCAAGTAACGTGGCACGGTTGAGGCTGCTAACCGCGGCCCAACGGCCTGTGCAAATGCAAATGGTTCGGGGATGAAGGGTGCTAATGTGTAAGGTTTCAGGGCTGAGGGGCAAGAATTGCAGATCTCCCTAGACGCCTACCAATCTTTCAGCAATGCCGGGCTTCAAACCCTCAGCCCTAGGGTTTAGGGTTTAGGGTTCAGGGAGACTAGACCATAAACCATAGACTGGACCATAAACCCTTAACCAAGCTATCCTGCGTCAAAATAAGGCTTCCCATGGGGTTCGGTAAGGTTTTCATAAGGACCTCGGAGGGATGATTCGGGTTTAGGGTTTCGGGTTTAGGTTTGTATTTCCTATAGGGTCATACCCTACCCCTTTGTTAGGGTACCTACTGTTTTATATAACAGGTTCTAACCATAAAGCTAGGTACCTTGAAAAAGGGGTAGCGTGTGACCCTTTAGGTATGGCTGTATGACGGTTATTTACGGTGTGCAGGAGTTTTAGGGTTTATACTCATGGTTGATGAGCCCCCCGCCTTTCGTTAGTGGCATTGAATTGAGGCTACCGTTTATCACGATCGAGGAGATTGATTGTTTATACAGGGGATTATAGGGGGTCTACATTAAGTACGACTGAGGAATCAGGGCGTCGACTGTAAAGTGTAGGCTTTGTGATTCAGACTTCGGGGTTTAGGACGTAGGACGTAGGATTTGATGGCTGGGGAACAGGGTGCTGAGTAAAGTGCCGTGAGAAGTAAGGAAACTGGATCATGAGCGGGCACCGCGGCCTCGTTCGCAGCCCGGCCACATGCTCCCCACTTTGCGAGGTTAAGGGCTTCCCGTGTTACGACAAGGCAGTCTAAGGATTGCCAAGTCGCCCATGTTCTGCCGGTAATGCTTCGATGCGTTTCGTCTTCTCGAGGTCTGGAAATCTGCTGCTCTAAGATAGACCGCTGCGTGCTGCTCGGAGGCGACGGAATGATTGTACATGGCTCCTACCTACCGAGGATGCCAAGGTGATCCGAACCGCGCATGGTCAGCATGGTACAGGCAATGACATTCCAGCTATGATGGGTTTAGGGTTTTGGGTTTCAGGTACATAATGGACTGATAGGCACGCTGTGAGCTCTGCGACCTTCTCACGTCTGTAGAGGTGGTAGCGGTTTAGGGTTTAGGGTTTAGGCCGGGTTTAGGGTTGAAGATGGTGATGGGTGATGGGGATGAGAAGGACGAGGACGAGGAGGAGAAGGAGGAGGATGTGCTGCTGCTGGTTTTGCTGTTGGCACGTGTAACCGTACTTGCACGAATTCTCCACTACCCCTTCCGCGAAAGCCCAATTTTTAGTAGTCCTCTGCCAAATATACCATAGGATGGGTATTCCAAAACTATAGGTGTAAACTGCCCATGAATCCCCAAGTAGGGTCTAGGTTTGAGGTCAGAACTCACCATCTAGCTATACCCGTGCCAGTAAAGCCCGAAGCCTTTATGGAAAACATATAGACATGCTATATGAGACTTGAGGAGCAGTTATAAAAACCTCACAGCCACGGTCCGAGCTCCCAAAGCTTCAAGTTGAGATCGGGGTCCACGAAACGGTGAAGTACATTGCCGCCCCAAACTTAGCCGTACAGAGGGGTTCTACAAGGTGAGGGTATTGCCATTGCTACAAGGCTCCTATAAGGGCTGCAGGTGTTTAACCCAAACCTCAGTGAAGTCTACCCCTAAGCTCCAATGCCTAGCAGGTAGGCAGCCAAACCAACATAAACCTTAAACTTTAACCCACCGGCCGGGTGACACCCACGTAAGCAAACGACCAGCGTGCCAGAACTCCATCTCCATCCATGCATTATACCTAACCCCTGCCAGAGCCCCAAACCCTAAACCCTCGAGCTACTAATTGCATTGAAGAGCCACTGTTCAGGATTGCGTGCCTCCCTCGTGCAACCCTCATAAAGGCCCGTTGAAGAATCCTCAAATAACCCTAAGACCTGAGTAAAACCTTGACAAAACCGAAGGAGAACCCTCCTGAAACTGTAAAACCTAAACTCCAGACCACAAAAGCCCTAAAGCTAAACTCTATGGACCACAAAGGCCCTCAAGCCGAAACCCCAACAACAGAAAAAAACATCCTCAACCCCAAACCTCAACAACCCCAGACCGTTCTGAGCGATAGAACAAAGCCATAAACCGAAAAGCCCAAAACCCCACACCCTACGCCCTCAGCCTTCAACCCTTATCGATTCTAGAGCCCGTATAGATCTTTGAAGATCCCATAAAACGAAC